AAACTTACTGAAAAACCGCAATCGATTTACACAGTTATTAACAAACGTAAAATTACCGCAAAAGTGGTTTCCGAAATTACACACAGACCAATAAAATGTTGATTGAAAGGCTGTGCAGTAGTGCGTTACAGAATTTAATAACGGTAGCATTTATGAACTGTGTGATTACTCCCAGACCTTAAATTCGTTCTTGGATTATTTATGGATTGTAATTCGAGGTTCCTCGCTCTTAATTCAAAGTAAAAGGTGCAACAATAGCCTTGCGGGCGCGTGACACACGATCGCACCGAACACTGATCGTGCACTAGTTTTGATACAACCGAAACAGTCTCAAATTTACACTGACATCTTTTATTACCGTTTTATGTGTTTTTGATTGTTTTTCGTTATTCGTGACTTCATACCGGAGTAATTTAGAGTGTCATTATAACCATATATTTGCTGGTAGTTGCTCTGGCTCAATTTTACACACACATACATAATCATCAGCCTACAAGTGTCCCCTGCTGAGCAAAAGCCTTTTCTCACACGGTTTTAAATTTAATCACAACGCTTGCTCGTGGCGAATTTGCGACTTCAAACTTTGAGTAAGTGATTAGAGATTATAATAAAAGAGATTAGTGATTAGAGATTACGAAGTTTTCTTTCATCGTAGGTCACTGTTCGAATTCTAAATTAAGTGAGAAAGTATATTACTATCAAAGTTCAATCAACGGTTTTATAAGATGTGAAAGAATAACAAGCAGAGATAGAACGAAGAAGGTAAGACAAAAAAGAACAAACTCTCAGGTTTAAAACATAACGTCTCAATTGTACTCACTACATATTTATTACAGAGTTTGACTTAAATGCAATTAATAATAAAACAATGAATAAAATCCTACACAGATGCCTGTACGATTATGTACAGAATCTACAATACTATCTTCGGATATTTACACAAACTCCAAAACATTTGAAAGACGTCAAGTATTTTAATACCCATTTCGTATTAGAATGGTGAGACATCAAACATTTCTGTACATATGTGGTGTCTATGTATGTTAGTACATATATCACAGTACGGTGCGTGCGAACAAATAACTAAAGTTCATCAATTAAGGCCAAAACATCAGTGTATAATATAGCTTTGCAACCAATGCTACCCGCTCACATTCAGTAAAGTACGCGTCAAAATACTCTGTCATTCTAAACTGTACATTCAACATAAATACACGAAAGAAGCGATTGAATGAGGTATTAGGATGGACGGACGGAAGGGGGTCAATACCTCCTTGAATCGTTCATTGCATATGATATTTCTGCTTCACTTGCTAATGGCCGAAAATAATCACAGATCATAAGCAAATAATTCTGGATAGCTCACAATTTTCGAAAGAAACTTCATACTTACAACTTAATTTGTGGAGGAGCCAAATTTCTCGGCCAACCAGAGTAATACTAAGGTCTTACAGAAAACCGGCGTAAAACAACCACTGCATTTTGCGTTAACTGTGTTTCGCCATGTGAGTAAGGTTAACGAAGGCCAACTCTTCCTCTAAATCTCCAAAACACTAATTCACAAAAAGTCGGCAACACCTTCCTTAGACCTTCCCTTTTATAGACTAGTTTGTCCTTATATCATTATTTGTATATTTGTCCTCATAATATAAGTAAAGTCTCAAATCAATTTCACACAAAAAGTCCCATCCAAATAGCCCATAATATTTGACGCGCATCATACAGTACACGAGGTTGCCTAACAACGGTATATACGTACAGCCTTCAATCCTTCCCTCACTTCAAAGCGAAATAAAGTAGTTTTTGAAATGAGAGCTATGTAGATGCATTAAAGTTCTAAACGTAAATTGCTACCTTCAGAATAAAGTGGCAATCATCATCACCTATTTGAACTATAATTTATAATGGTTCTATTGTGGATCTCAATTGCAGGTTCTATTTGTAAGTTATAGGTCTGCTCAATTTGTTTTTGTTGCGGTTTCACAGGCAATGAATGCAGTTATTTTGTTAGCAAAATTAATTGATTGAACGATCCATTCATAATGTAAGTACTAGATCTTCTCTTTGTTGTTTTTTGGTTTTATGTTCAAGATATATTGATTTTGATTTACAGTATTTAATACCTGCACAGAAATGGAAGATTGGTTACAAAGAAGGCAACATAATGGCTGATAAAAGAAGAAAGACGTATATTCACGTTTTGTCTATTCACAATAACCCACTGTAAAAAACAAAGTCTGAAACGTCTATTTTGAAATGATTAACGATCCGAAACTATAAATAATAACTTCATTGCTCGTAAGTCTCGTAGCGTCACAACTTCCGTACATTAGAGTTCAACGCGCAAAGGTCTTCGGTCCCCGGAGATTTCTCTTCGCAAATTCTCAAGTAGGTACCAACGCAGAATAATAACTTTGTAAATTAACGTGACATGCACAATTACATTCTTGTTGCTTCATTATTTATGGTATGGAGGTTGTCAGCGGTGCGTTATGCAGACGATATCTACATAATTGTTGATAATTACGGGCAGAGTCACGTAGAGCGCTCCAACAGTTACCTAACCCCCTCACTGAGGCTGCGCACTATAAACCTGACAATACACCTAGAGGGGTTCACTAACTTAATATATCAAAAGTGTAATTATGAACGTTGCCTGAATTAACTTACTTTCACAGCCTGAGGGCTCCTGACACAAAAGGTTGTAATAAAACTAATCAAACACAAGGCTCTTGATCTTAACAATAAACAGCTTGACTTCTGACCTATTAAGGTGCGCGTTTTGTATAGAAACAGAACATGTTGCAAATAATTGGATCTGTCAGTCAGTATCGACACGAACATCTAGATGTAACGGGCAGCTGAGACAGTTACATCTACCGAGTTTTGTGTTATTAAATTAATGGAACATCACGCCCGTCCTTCCCCGAAAGAACAAACAGAGTTCTTGTAAACACCTATCATCATGACTGAGAATTCTCAAACAAGAAACCCTGACCCAAGCTGGGAATTGATCGAGAGATTAATAAAAACAACCGAACAATTTATTTATGAAATTATTTATCATTTAAAACGACAAATCTAGAATATTCTCTATTTAAAATCGAATAGTATGATAAACTTATTAATAATAATAATATAATTATACAGAATAAAGATAAATCAATGTGGCATACGGAAATGTTTGCAAATAAACACTGTCAAGAATACAATAAAAGCAGACTATTCTCGTATTTGTAACAAAAGATTCAGACCGACGTTCGAGTTTAATATATCAATGCCAAAGTATGAGTTTCCTAACGTACTTCACTATTATTTAGTTTGAGTAAGCTAGTTTCACATCAATCATGATAATAAGTATAGCGAACACGTAAATGTTGGGATTGCACAATGCATGCACAAGACCAAACAAACAAAACATAAACTGTAATAGCTATACTTTGCTTCACTAAAACAAAATTCAATTCCTTTCACGATTTCCTTTGTATAATTTTATTGAGTACTTTACATCTGATAATTTATGTTGCAGTACTTACATTAAATTGATTGAAATACATTAATCTGTCGATACGATCAATCCAACGATAATATATTTAATTAACATTTTATCTCTGTGCTGGCTGAAGACGTGTAATATAGCCTGGATTTAAATTCCTAAAGAACTGTTTACATTGAAGTCAATATAAAAAATTACATCTGACAATAAAGTTCTTTTTTTAAAAGCTTTTATCGTGTTAACATAAAGGAAAATTACCATATTTAAAAAAAAAAAAATAAGTAAAGACAAAATAATTTTGCATATCTTCTATTATTTAGTTTCTCCCTTGGCCATTATTTTAATATATCATTCATAACGTTGCAATATTTATTTACTGCTTAATTTTTTACAAATGTTAATGCAGATTTCGAAAAAAAAAACAATTTAGGAATAAAAGAATGAACAAAAACACTGTTTACCATAATTGCGCAATACTCTGAACAAAAGTAATAAATTCATCATTTAATCGCCTCACTTTTATCCTCGGAATCGCTCGAGAGGTACAATTTGTTCTGTTAATGGAATGTTCAAACAAACTCAACGGCCCGTGTCTTCTCATAAGCTGCACGGTCTGTTTACTTCACTGACACTTATATAATTTAGCCTGATTTATATTAAAACTCATGTAAATTTAATGCGGGTCAGTTCGTTAGTGTTTACCGTGCTGACCTTTGATAAAATTTGCATTAGAATCTTAGATTTTGCTATTATTTATCAAGCAATGATTCGTCAATTTATTGATGCGAAACATTATAAATACAAATACCTACCTGTATGCAGTATAGCTTAATAATAATACACTAAAGAAGATAAATATCTTACGACGAATTACGCCTTCCTAAATTCAATCCACGCTCATTAAAAAACCATAATATCAGTTTTTATTAAAATGACATCAAAAAAGTCAAACGAACGCATTAAAATGACGTAATCTATATTTAATCGTTTATTTACATAACCGGCACAATGCTGGCAGCCTGCATCCAAGTCTGACATCCGCGACCCGTTACGTGTGGTGAAAAGTTGGCGGAAAATCAACGGCGCGTTCCGCACGGGTGCGCGTACGCAAACCGATAAACCTCGCCTATATTTCCTGATTATACGCTCCTCGCAAGGAAGTTATTTAAAAATTAGCGATCACAAATCACTTTAGGTTTAATTACGTTTACAACGAACAATTATGTTATGCAGTCTTTAAACACAGCGTTTTCAAAACGGTTTCGGATATCGTATACCTTTCTAATTTGTAAATTAAGCAGATGCTTTTGTAGAAGACATTTTACATACAAAAGAGTTAGTTTTCAAAAACATGTAGAACCAGCTTGAATTTATCAGCAAGGCTCATTGGCTATCACATCAATATGAAAGCTGCTATTTACTTATCGATGCCTGGCCAAAACGAAAGAAATGACTATTTGTCCCTTTCTAACGCGCTTTCGTCGCTGCGCCGGCGACGGCGACGCAGAGCGGCGTGGTGCGCGATAGTGCGCGCGGGTTTAGTTTTCAGTGATCGCGCGGCGACGGCGCTCTCTGCCGGCGACCTCCGAAGTTTCGCAACTCGACACATTTCCTAGTGCTAGTGATGTGCTAAACTTATCCGGTCGGAAGTCCACATAACGTGTGCCGCAGTGACGTCATCGGGGGACTCCGCAAGGGCATCGGTTCGCCGGTCTTAGCAGGTGAATACGATCAATTAAAACTGGATAGCGCCTGCGACCGCAGTCGCACGCCACGGCCCCAGCTCGACATCCTTGTCCTCAATTAAAACAATTTACGGCAGTTCTTGTTTGAATTTTACAATTGTTGTCCCGATTCATATTATTGTAGCAATAAGCACGTAATTTACGATTACTTGTACTTGAAGCTGCAGGCTTAAAATATTTCTGTTTCATTGCGCTCCACTAGAATCTATAAAAGGAGATAATTGCATGTAGTGAATGTATAGTACCCACATAGATCAAATTATTGTTTGTTGCCATCTACGATAGGATTTGGATCGAACCAGTTTTATTTAAGAAACCCGATTTTTTTTTTCATATTCTGTTGCTTTCATAGAATATTTAAGTACCTAGTAGACGAGTATAGTGAGCTGGCGTCATACGTACGAACCTATACAGATTTGTCATCATGTGATCAAATGACGTTACTACTAGAACTTGGAAACCTCCGACGTCTGTTACACAGTGATGACAAATGTGCAAAACACCACATGACTCGAAGGCGACGTTCAATCAATTTCGCATCAGTACCGTGGCAGGTTGTAGTGACCACAACGAAACTAATGTGATTTAATCGAAGTGTATTTTAATGTTGTAACTTATGCGACGGTCTCAAGATTAGATCTACTTGAGGTTTGTTTTGTAAGAATGCTATCAGTTCGAAACTGTCGTAACTGGGCCTACGGGCTAGTGCGCAACCGTTTTTGTCAGGGAGTAATGCGTACAGACAAACTCACTAACTAACTAACTGACTAACACCGCCAGTATCTGAAAGTGCTGTACATTTTGCAAGCTACTGCAATAGGCTAGAACAGTACCAATACATAGCTATCTAAATAATATCACGTATTTCATACCACTTTCATGAACTTTAAAAAAACTTTTTAGATAATGACGGGAACATTCCTCGTATGGATCGTATAACTTTATCATTTTCTCGAACAACTGCAAACATAATGATTCCAGTGAGATAATAAAAAAATAACATACTTTTAAAATTGTTTTTAAAACCTGTGTTGGGTATTAAATACATACTTTCTCGGTCATTGTATGTCGAATCTTCGGGCACTGATTTATTTTATAAAACTTAACTGCTATCAACCCAGATGTACTATAACTCTTGTAAGATATGATAATACCTTTCATAATGAACTATCCCGAGTAATAAGAGACGTTAAACACACGCCTATGCTGTTTAATTTATAGAATAAAAATGCACAAAGTTTAAGCACTGAAGTCTCTAAAATTATTATATTTTGGTTAGAAATAGCGAGGAAGGACAACCAGTACGCTGATATTTAGGCATGTGTCTATTTACACAAGTTGAATATCCACTTTAAATATCACTACCTATGTAGGTAGGTATTTATTGAAAGTCAGAATTCCTATAACAAACCACTATTCATTCCTAATACGTATTTCTCTAATGTAGAAGACTCTTTTACTTAAAGTGATATTGGCAGAGATACTAGTGTGATTATTATTAAATTATTATATTACCTTACAACACATTTTCTTAACAATTTCTTACTCTATAATGTTTTTAAGTTTAATTAACGGACCCTTAAATCCATCCTTTTTTTTCTTACGCGGAAAACCTTCAAAAGGCGTCTAGTTTTTAGAACAAGTACTAGGGGGTGTGAGAATCTCGCCTCACTAAAACCAACTCGCTAGTCATACTCATCATCATCATCCTGATTTCGTCCACTGCAGAACATGGACCTCCCCAATTGCGCGCCACTGAGCTCGATGTTTAGCTCTTATCCAACCACTGCCAGTCACCCTGCGGGTATATAACCAGTCCAACTAGCTGAAAGGTGCCTTACACTGCCTGGTCATCCTAAGCACCCGTAAATGGTGCTTATAAACCTGCTCTAGTGACCCTTACATCAGCCTGCAGCAGCAATGATACCCAAACAACTTAACCAACCAAACGTTCATAGTCCATTCTTTATTTATTTATCTCCAAAGTACTTTATTCCCAAAATCTCATAAAAAACGTTACGATTAAATCTTTTCATTTGTAAACAAAACAGTTGTGATGGATGTGCGTGCTGATGTAATGATAAAAGATAAGGAAAATTTTGTTAAACTGAAGTTCATAACCCCTATTAGATTGCCCAACGCACCTTGGATCAAGTAATTTAATGCACCATACAAATTACACTCGTAACGAATGTCAGTCATGGAAATATAGCTACTTATATACATAGGTATATATGTAGGTATATGATACCATTAAGTGTTACAGTTCATTGCCATCTGAGAAAAGGGCTTCATACTTCAGGATTTTTGTTACTAAACGCAGGGAAAAGCATTTGACTGATTGTCAAAGTTGATCTATAATGATAATGAACCATACAAGTAATTGTATGCTTTATATTTTGTAAGAGTGTATACTTGTTAGCTTATAAGGTAAGAAGAGAAAAATACAACAAAAACCCGTGATCCCTTGCATAGCAGTCACACGTGCGATCGAGTGATCGTTAGTTCTGTAGTTGAATAAGTAATATAAAAATCAAGAATAAAAAAACAACAATATAATTTGTTAAAAAACATCTGCCTATCATAGGTAATGGCCATCATTAAATCCTTTACGAAACTGAATGATTACGAAAACACACAATCACGAGCTTCGACAATCGTTACCATAAAGCCCCTGTCATCAGTGGTCTTGAAGATATTCAGCACTGATCACTATTACCACAGGTTCGTATGTAATACGCCAGCTATTATAATATTATAGTGGCGAAATATTAATTCACACATTGCTACTGTGTTTAATATCCTAGAACGACCAATGAGGTATGTAGCATAGAGTTCTTATTGCACCTAACGCAACAAAAAACTATTTATTTTTTGCATAATTGGCTCATCCAACACGGAATTAAATTGAAAATACTTACATATGTCTTAGTGCGGTACTTGGATACATTTAATGATTACTTAAACAATACCTTAAAAATGTTTTTATTCTGAAAAACATTCTTTGGATCTTTTTTCTTTTTTCTTTTTTCTTTTTTACCCCCAAGGGGATAAAAAAGGGTATGAAGGTTTGTATGAAACTTTGTCAGTTTTAAACCGATAGGGCTGAGACCTTGCATGCATAAAGCTACGTTATGCGTACCTATGTTATACGGGATGCCTACATCACATACAAAGTAAAGCCGCAAAAACTATACCTAAATAATAATATTTCTTAACGCGAGCGATGCCGCTGGCGAAAGCCAAAGTCATTAAAGTAAGACCGAACAGCTATGGCAATTAATTTTAAAAACATTGATATTCTTTTAAAATGCCTGATTGTGGTGATTTTTTTAAATGTTTTTTGTGGTAAGTTTTAGTAATTAATAGTTAAGTAAACTTTAGACCAATTAAACTAGAAACTACATAACTAAGCTTAAACTGTGTTTACCTGTGAAATGTGAAACATAATATTTGTTGAAAGCAACATGCGGGTGTTTACCGAGTACATGTCAAACGACAAACTTTTGCTAATTGGCAAATACCATAGGCTGAACGACAAGCGTCCATTTTGCTGTTCCATTTTTAAATAAATAGTTAAACAATTAAAATTAAGCTTAATTTTATAAGTGTCTAGAAACCTGAAAAGTGAAAATGTTTTTATTTCCAAATGTCCTACTTGTTATCTGATAGTAAGCAGTCGGCGGCGCCTATGGACACCCAAGGAGTTAGAAGTGCGTTGCCAGCCTATAGGGGATTAAGGTTTCGGAGATTAAGGGGTCGGAGGAGGAAAGGACTGGTGAATTTTTTAACATAACTCATTATCGGCATTTTTGGAGCTGTTTCCGAGATGATGCAAATAGTAAAACAAAAATTGCTTCTCAGAAGAAGCGTAAGAACATCCAGTTTCATTTCTTAAAAATCTAGTTTATCTATGTTACAGATAATTATGTAGGTATAACTCTCACATGGCGTGTTCAAACATGATATTTATATTAAAATTATATAAGAACACGTAACACAGTAATTACACAAAAAGCCGTTATTGAAGCAAGTAAGCCGTTTACGTGCCATTTCCTCACGCAAGTGATATTTGAGACGGATTATAGCATGCAGCTCAAACATAAACGGGCAACTAACGATGCACTGTTTACTAAATTGTAACACCTTCTATACATGCGACTAGCGTGGGATATTTGGACATACAACATAAATATTCAATTGAATACATCAACATAGTATGCTGTTTGAATAGCTAAGCTATTTCCAAAATCCAATTTGATTTTCTCAATTAAAGCCTGGTAACTGGATTGAACCATATCATTAACACGTTAATCGCCACGTAGGTCACCGGTGACCTACGGTAGCGGAGGATTTGCCTTCAATATTTTTCTGTCGGCAGTCAAAGGCTTAAATATAAATTCTCTCATCGACAGAAAGAGGTACACTATACTATAATACTACAGGAAACCTACCTACGTATAATACTACAGGGTCCTTGCTGGATGGCTCATCTGGAAGACGCTGTGAATCTGTCTAAATTAAAACGAAAGAACAACTTTTTGTTATTGGACGTTACTTCCAAAAACCTTGCCAAAACTGATTTCTTGTAACTTTGGTCACACATAAATCACTTCTATGTATGTAGGTACACTATGATTATAATTAATGTGTATTATGAAGTCATAAACATATTCACACAAGTAATTTCATGTGTGAAAGTCAATCATAATCGAGTCAGAACTATCATTAGCTACATCTACCTTTCTACATGAGTAAATTGAATATCAACGAGATTATTAGCAACTTGATGACTTTCTATAAATCAATCTTGGATGGAGATGACGTGGGAACATCCATATATTATTATGGTCTGTGATAAGTATTGATATATTGTCGTCATGGTAGCCTAAGGCGCCTACGGGGCAAGAACCGATTTTGCCATTTGCTAATAGGTTAAAGCGTCCTTTACAATGTTGAAAAACAATCAATGAAGG